GTCCATCGCACGTGACTCTGATAGACATTTTCTCTCGTACATTTGAGATGCGTGTCGGATTCACCACGTGTGCAGCTGAGATTGGACGAGTCGAGTCTGATCCAACAAAGTTCAACTACTCCCGCAGTAGACAGTGTTTACATATGGATGCAGCCGTCCCTGCCAGAGACGAAGAGGCTGTTGCCCGATGGTGACATGATAATATCGTAGGGGCATTCAGTGGCGCAAGACTAAGAACTATCTCTGAGCTGTGTCCAGCACTTGGTCCTTACATGCCCAGCTGCTTGTGTGACTTTATGCTTACCCCATAGGAAGCCAGTGAGTTGATAAGGTGCTGCTCGTCCACCCGTTCGTGATAGAATGCGGTACCTCCGCTCAATTGACAAGCGGTAGGCGTTACGGTTAGTATAGTACGGTATCGACCCTAAACGCACAGGACAGGTGTCATCAGTCATCACGGAGGAGCAACGTTACCTCGGCGGCCTTGATCTAGATAACGCGCACTCTCCTTTCCAGGTGACATCCTGTAGCTCCTGGGGAAGTGCTTATTCAGGACCTGACTGACAGCCACATGTCCTCATTGATAACGACCCAACCACCCACCCTCATGAATCCCTTCCAGTCTGGGTCCAAGACGATAGACTTAGTGATCTCGAAAGCCTTGCGCTGTCCATCACTCCTCAAGTGATTCAGTCTCTCAGTGTCCGCCTTGAGCTCCGACAAATACGGTCTGACGGAGAGGAACCCGCCATAGTACGGTTCGTCTAGTAGAAACCACGCGAGAGCCCTCCCAACTCACTGCTTCATAAAGTGAACTCTGAGGTAGATTCTCATAGCGAACGGCTTAGGATCTGTAGGGTCGATCTCACAAGCCACGCAAGCAGCTTCCAAGGCTGCCTCGAAGCATCCTAGCCGGAAGGCACCTGCCACAGGTGAAGTTCGCCGTAATCGATATGCACGATGATTCATTCGACCAACCACTCCGTGGCAAGCCTCCTTACATCAAGTCCCTTGCAGATGAAACGAAAATCTGTTTTTTGGTATTGTTTGTTTTTTGTTCGGAACACACTCTAGTGTTGCAAAGCACGTCATCAGCTGTACCAAGGTACTATTCTATTCGATGCATACTCAGCAGCGAAGATGGACGAATTAGATAATGCCATCAGACTCTCCCGCCTCTTACAGACACTATAAAGCGTGGCAAATTCAGCGTTCTCCCGCTCGACTGGATCGGTAAATTCCTCGCGGTTGCATCTCACTGGCCGCGCCTCCGCAGGCGTCGATGCGACTTCCTTCAGCCCTTCATATCTGCTCTTGAGCATGATTCACGTCGGAGCGAAATCCCCGAGGCACCACCAAGAGGTTGCGAGATGGAGACCCCGAGTCCAATATGCGATTCTCATGCAGTGCATCACGACATACGTAGGATCTAGAGGATGCTAGTTTCTCATTCTTGGAAAATAGCACCGTAAAGCAAGTGGCTCACTAAATGCGATGGTCTAGGTTTCGAGTGCCCCCCCGAGGTTGCAGCCTTGTTAGCGCGCTAAAAGCGCATAGAGCGTCTCACCGTCCCCTATTGGTGACAATGAAGACGTGTATATCGTGAGGTGTGGCATAATCCACGTTGTCCCAGGTCACTTCCCTTTGGGAGGTTTTGGACTCTAGAAAAACGAAAAGCATCCTGAAAACCAGTCGCATCTGATTCACCTTCTTCACCATGGCATTCTGGACTGTCTTCTGGGTCAAACTCAGAGGGAACGGAGGATATCATGAGCCTTTGGAGTGTCGAAAGAATCGACAAGAACATAAACACTGCCATAACGACGGCTACTCCGCAGCAATCAATCGACAGCGATTATTCTCAGCGATGCTTCGGATCGTAGCGATAGTGGAGCGAGAAGGATTGCTTTGTAGCTCGGTAGGGAGAGGGTGTAGTATTGAACCTCCCGACACATCCCACGCGGCCAAACCGGAAGCTCGGACGTCGTCGTTGAGGCTAGCGGCGAGTCTCGTGGTATTCCACACACGACCAGAGTAGACGCTGAGTAAGTCACGAACTCAGTCAGTGGGATGGGGATAGGACCAGCGGGGATTAAAGCGATGACTAACACTAAACTAAATCACCCAGAAAATGTCAACTTACCAACCGAGTGCATTCACAGATTCAATATTAAACACGTACACAAGCAAACAGACCACCACAGATCAACGAATGAGGAAAATCTGCGGATGAAGCGAAGCGATAACAGAAACTTATGGGAAATTTCAAAGGTAAAAGGATAGGAATTTTCATTAGCCCTTTTCCAACTGCAACGGACCCTCCCCATCCGTCTCGGAGTCCACGATTGTGCCAAGACGCTCCAACGTCTTCATCTCCTTCTCTAGTGAATGTCCCCTTTGTCGAGGACTGGACGACTCTAATACGACACAACAGTTTACCTCGAAAAATACCGACTTTCGCCTCACCTGACGCAGAGTCAAATCCTCGACCGTCAGTGACGAGTGCCACGAACTCCTCGTACCTGCATGCCAGCTATCATCAACGATTAAACCCCCCGGATAGGTCCCACTGTATCTGTCCATCGCCGTTGATATCGCACTCCTTGATAATCTCTTCTATTCGAGTACCCATATAGTCTTCCCCGAGAATTGTCCGGAGATTCTCCAGCGATATCGACCCTGCAAGAGCGAATTCTCAAATCCGGACACATGCCCTCGAGAAGAGCGTGCCATTAGGCGGCCGTGCACTCAGAGGGAAAATACCCAATGATAGCGAGTCCAGAAGGAGGAGAAGCAAAAGCCAGAACGACACCCACCAGAGCCGTCTCTATCCATCTTCCTAAAAGCGTCCAGGATAAGGGACTCGTTGTCAGCTATGTGCAGTTCGAGGGAAGCCGCGAGAAACTCTGATACAAAATATACCAATCATAGAGCATCCGGCTATAACTGATTATGCATATAACTGACTGCAGCATAAGTGACTATGTAGACTACATCTCGACCACATAATGTAGTCGAACGTTGAACAATCAAACAGTCGAGACGCTCCCCATCGAGGAGAAGCTCTGCGATAAGAGCATCATTTCGAGGAGAACAAAGCAGTAAGTAGCGGAATACCACGTAGTGTCACCAGAATAATGTATCTCGTGATTGCCTGTCACGTCCAACTTGGAGAATACTGTCCGGGCTTCCTCCCTGACGATTGACACATCTCATCCCTCTTGAGACCATCTCGCTCACCTCGTCATATTGAGCTTCTCGGTGAGCGCGGTCGTGAGCTCTTCCAGAGTTATGACACCGTTGCCGTCCTTATCCAGCACACTACACAATATTGCAAGTACACAGCGAATCTTGCGCACGCGGAAGATTCTTTCCTACCGGAATTGCTCCTCCAACTGGCGAACTTGTGGTGTGCTCATGGTCATGGCAATGAGCCCGAGCGCCGCTCGCTTCATAACTCCTAGAGAAGAAAAAGACATCCACAGGGTAAAGGGTCTTTCGCGGCAAGTGACTGATCGTGAGCAACAAAGACACCATTTGAAAGCCATCATCGAGCTCTCTCCAGAGCTGTATGAACGGTTCTAGTTAGTTAGTTACTTAACGGTGCTGGTTAGCCCCAGTTAGTAGCAAGTCGAAACCGGTACGACTTTTTCCTATGTAGCTGATTTTACGTTTGACGATATCTCAGTACACAATACGGATATCAGAACCGTTCACACAGCGTTGAAGAGAGCTCGATGAAGGCTTCCATATGGTGTCTTTGCTGTTCACGAACTGTCACTTGCTGCGAAATTACGAGAGGTGGGCCCGTTCTTTGTACCACCCTGTAGCAACCGCGAGGTCGTGGGATCGAATCCCACCACACGCAAGTAGCACCAACTCACCAGCAGCGGCAAAATGATACAGGTTGGTCAGCACAGATGTATCAAGGGAAGGTTCCTGATCTCCTCTCCAGGTTTTCCGCAGCCATGGGTCCTGGAGGGCCTCCTTGCATGATGGCCTCCTCGCAGGGTCCTATCAACAATACCAATGCCATCTTCCCTAACCAAACACCCCTCCCACCTTAGTAAGGAGCCTCATGATGAACTCTTTAGCTTCCTGACTCACATCGTCCCACACTGACGCGGAAAAGCTGTACTTCGCCGCACGAACACTGCGTAAGATAGCTTGCTCATCCCTGATCATATTCAGTGGTCTATCTTGTCGTTGGAAACCCATGACTACCTTCCCGTGAAGGGTGGCATGCCACTAAGGAGCATATAGGTGATCACTCCTAGACTCCATATGTCACACTTCTGATCATGAGTGCCTTTCAACACCTGTAAAAATGACGAACCCATTGAGCCAAGACGTGTACCCATGGCTTCATATATTTCCATGGGCGATCGGATCACGATGGGAAGTGCTATAAATCATATCCCAATGAGCCAAGCTCTCATCATGAACAAGCATGTGCTCAATACAGACTGATACAGTCATGACGCGTCGCATAAGATTCCGTTTGAGCTTCCCAAAGAACGTCTTGCTCAGTAGTCTCGCTATCGGACCGATTCATTATTTCGGAAATGCCTCCGCAAAAAATACAGTAGTAAAGCTTACTTCCGGTGCAACGTAAAAACAGGTACCACACACTCTGGTGAGAGGTACACCCGAAGTGAACCTCTGTGAGAAACCAAAGTCAATCAGCTTCAATGGTGAGTTGGGAGACTTGTCCAGGAACATCCAATTCTCGAGCTTGAGATCGCGATGACAAATATTATGCTGAAAGGAGGAAGCTAACCGCGTACTCTCCACCATTTTAATCTGTAAAACGCCATAATAGCGCTATACCGTGGCTTGGCCTATACATCGCACGTACTGTACCGAAAAAGTCTCCCACTGGTAATTTCAATACTAGCAACGGCCGGCATGCACTATGCACAGTCTTCCCCATTCTTGTTCACTATACAGCGCATCACGTACGACCACTGACCGATGCCTACCTCATGACAGTAGTTCACAGCGCTGAACATCTGCTTCACTAGCCCGGCAGCGTCAGCCTCGCTGAACCTTTGGACGTCTTTTAATCGATCGAAAAGCTCCCCACCTGATGGACTCTCTCCCGCAGTCTGTGTCAAATTTCTCTCACCTGAGCATTTCTCCATCACCATGTACAAAAACGTTCTCGACCATCGAGACGCTGATTCCCGATCCTCGTAGACCTCGCGAAGACGGACGATGTTTGGGTGGTCAAGTCGGAGGAAAATTGCAACTTCATTATACCTGACAATCTCACTGGCCAGGGAGATATGGAATTGAAAACTACAGTTGATCGTATTTCTTCTTGCTGAGGTTCCAAGTTGGGAGCTTCTTCAAGGCAGACTGCTGACCCGTCCTCCTATTAGTAATGCTACGTACTGAGCCCGACACTCCTGTCCCCAGTATCTACAGCGACTCGATATTCAACGAGCAGTTGCCAAAGCGAAACCAAGTGATCGATCTCAACAGGTGATCAGCAAGCAGCCCATAGGGGCATTCTACATGGCATGCCCCTCATCAGTCTCAAAACTAACCCCGCTGTGGTAGTAGTAACATTTTAATAATTTAAAAGTCGACAGGAGGTTGACAGTAACATGCTAACTAACCTATCGAACTGCCGCTCCTCGTTCTACAAAGTGATGGGTGAATTACGCGACAAAACTAGATCTGTGAGAGATCAGTTCCGCTTAGGCGACAGCGCCAAATCGAGGACATATTCTAATTCATCCGCCGCCGCCTCTACTACTACTCGTCCGTCAAAGTCATATACGTCAGATATCTTCACAGAGGTGACAATCTTGGCCATCCGAAGATCCCGAGATTCTTCCTGTTGAATTTCGGATAGTATCTTGTTGCACGAAACAAGCCGAGCATGCATCATCACAGGCCAGTCCCAGTAGCTAACCTACTTGCCCTGAGGAGTTACTCCTACTCTTTTCAACGTCTACTCGAGAATCAGTCGGGGTTTCACCTAAGGGACGACTCCATGAATTTGTGGGACGAATCCTTACTCTGCTTAGCAGGGGAGAGGACCTTGTCCCGTGTCCCTTCCTTTCCAGTGGTATTATGCCGCCGTTCCGGATGATTCTCTGACCGATGCGGATGACGGATAGTCGAGGATGAAACGCATCCCATAGACGCAGTAGAGTTCAAAATTCAACTAGTAAATTACTGTTTTGAGTCACTCAAATGAAGACCGGACGATTATGCGCGTTAATTATCGCGTAAACCGGACGTTTTATCCCGAGTGATTCCGGCGCAGTTACAATGATCGTTTTTGATCACGACTCTCCGCTCGAACTTACTGGCGTGCACTCCTTGTAGTAATCAGACGCATGCATGAACATTTCTTCATCCGGCGCTTCTGTACAAGAGCCCCCCAGAGGAAAGCCGCTGCCCTCCGTCCTCACACGATGCCTCGCTACCCGAATTTGACAGTGGGGGGCCTGTTGAGATTCTGTGACTATACTGGTAGTCAAGGACGACTCGATCGACCAGCATCGTCAAGTGTGCTACAGGCACGGTCTCATTCGCCAGCTCGGGTGCTCTGGTGGCAGGAGTGGCTGGAATGGACATCGTCGGATGTATTGCAGTGGGCACAATAACCGCTATAGGTGATTTTTTGACCCGTAAAGGAGCGAACGATTATACGAGTCAGGCGGCGGGACCATCAGAGACGTTATCCTGAGGCACCAGCGAGCGTTTTGGCTGGACGAGCACGAATACTTATGGATGTCGCTGGTAGCAGCGGCTTTGACCTACAGCCAGTAGGGGACAGCCGCTTGTGACCATACCATCACGTCGTCTCATCAGGTATCGGCGGCTCAGGTCCGAGTCTAGTCGCGAGGTGTTCTCGACCATCCTAGACTGGACGGACCACATTGGAGTTGCTGCGTTCTCTGTTATTGGCAGCATGAATGCCATCAGAGCGTTGGGTGGAGTCCGACTCGCCATCGTGCCACACTGTGTCATCGCGGGGGTCATGACCGCTACTTTCGGAGGTACCCCAGGCTTCCGTTCTCTCTCTACTGATCACCTCAGGCGCGGTTCGCGATGTTGTTACCGGCCGACCAGTGAGGATCTTCTACAATAAGCAGAGCTTATACGCCGTATCATCAGCAGTTACAAGTCTCACCTACATTCTGTTGAGCCTCTATTCAACAGGACCTCTGGCGATCACTGCCAGCGTGAGTTTTGAAGAGTGCCGGTCACGTTTCCGTTGTTATGTTGTCGCAGATACTCACTGGTATTGGCTTGCGCGCGATCTCGATGAAACGGCAGATAACAACCGATACGATGGTTTTTCCTGATGAGGATAATTACGATGAAAAAAAATAATTTCATCCACGTTCATCATTGTTTGGTTTCAGTAACCGGTGTTTGCTTGCATACTATACCTCTGATCACCAGTAACTGTGTTAGCATTACAACGTAATAACACAAAACTCGTTATATAAGACTCGGCTGCGTCCGGCAACGTTGCGAGTTCTCGCGGACACGTCATCCGAGTATGATGGTGATCACAATGATCACAAGTTGGGACGTATGGCTCGCGGACTGCACGAGAATAAGCCAGCGCATAACCACTTGAGATGAGTGTCACTCATTGAGTAACCCCGAATGTAACATATGGGGACCAATCTTAAACGTCAGTGATCTCGATTGATGACCATCCGTCATTACACGTGGATTTTATTGGTTTTGCTCTCATTACTCTGACTCACTAAGGATTTGTAGGGACAGAGCGTTAGATCGCGAAAAGGTGATTACAAGCCATGAAGCGTCACATAGCTCTTCTGACACCTCGAATTTAAACCATGTAAGATTGCATACACAAGTGACATTCGATATTGACAATGGCTAATTACAGGATGTAGGAGTGTCCGACACCACCCATCAGCGATGGACAGTTTTAACTCACCCCGAGCGCTCTACGTCGAGTCTGTTGTGCAGAGCTGCATAGTGAAATGCTGCTACCCACATGTTAGGATCACGACGGTCAATAACACCGCAAAACGTAAAACGTGAAAAGGTGATGATCAGGCTATGAAGTGCCTCACAACACTTTTGACATCTCGAATTTAAAGCACGCAAGAAAGCATCAATGTATCAACAGGTGAGACAGATAGCATACGCCAGTGACATTTCACATTGACAATGTCTGATGACAACGAGATGTCGGAGTGTTCGACACCGCCCATCAGCGATAGACGGTTTTAATCCACTCCATACAGTTTACGTCGAGAACAGTTGTGCAGAGCCGCATGGTAAAATGCTGCTACCCACATGTCAGGATCACGACGCTCACTAACTCTACAGTGAGTTCTACGATGCAAGCGAAGCTCGGACACGAAAGAATCTGAATGACCGAGGATTAGAGCATCACGATTCTACCGAGATGTTTATATTCACCATCAACTTCGATGATGGCAAATGATACAGATCTCGATGGCACATTATGACAGTGAATTTGGGGAGCCCATTACCACTCCACTAGTTGCACAAGTAGAAACCAAATTGGACCTTGCAGTCTAAGCCTCTTTGAACGCCAAGTAAACCGATTCGACGACTACAAACCATCGTGAGGAGCAAGGCAGTGAATCAGCAGAACTACAGAGAACTTCCGGAAGGATTTCCCGTAGATACTCTACTCACTGCTTGGTTAGCACCACGAACCGTATAGTTCGTCTCGCTTGAAGCAAGCGAGATATGAAGCAGCAACTCAGTAAGAGGGTTAAATGCATCTACATAGGGCCTTCAGGCAAAGTAGATAAGGTGATTTATCGTGCTCATCATAGTTATGATACAACGGTATAAGACTCGCCAAGGACATGTCACTTGGACAGTCGATTTCAATTTGAAATTTCCAAATCGATCTTAAGCCATAGCTAATTGAAGAATACATTCTCGCTCGCCATGAAATTATACAACGTGAAAGGTGAGGTTGGTGGGGGGACAAATGTTGTGTTGCAGTCGAGAGCGCGATTACACGGGTTCCGGTATGACGGTACGCTTGTGTGTCTGTTGGATCACGATGAAGGTGCAAGGATGCAAGGAGTGATTCTCAGTGGTTCATCATTTTGTGGTGTTTCCGACACTACGCCGCTCCCGTCACCTCCCCAGTAGCCGTTGCACCGTCTAGCCGTTACACTCGCCGTAATAAGCCTACAGCTGCACTGAGGTAATGCTGTTGAGGCTGAATGGCCTTGGAAGGAGTATGATCGTTGGTAACAGACTTCTATGGGCTGGCTGTGATCAGATAAGTCATGCCGCAAAAACCTAGAGCGACCAAGATGTCGCTTTATGATTTCCAAGGGGAGCCCAAGGAGGAGTTGTTGCCAACCAGGAGTATTGGACTCGAACGTCAGTCTGGTATGCATTGGAATTGCTTCCATCGCTGAGGGGGAACTAATTCTTTCAGTTCACCGTCGTCGTGACGATGAGCCCGGCAGAGGGGATTCGGAAGGGACTTGGCGTCGAGGTGGTGACGATGGACGCAGTGGTGAGGCGGCATAGTTGAAATTCTTTGGAGTACTCCGTCTGGTATGGTTTAGGTTCTAGAGAGCGCGGCGATCCGGATGCGGGCCGTGGCGATCTAGATGACAACTGGCGTGGATCTGCTAGGTTGCGTCCTTCGGGCAGTCGGGAGGGATTTGGTGACCGTCGGGTGGGATTTGGTGACCGTCGGGTGGATCCTGCTGATGAGGTGCGGGTGAAACCGCATGAGAGCCATTGTTGAGCAACGATCATTTTTCAGGACAATGACTGGCGGGCAGGCTCTCGTCCTACCCTGGACCGTGCTGGTGGTAGTAGTAGGCTCCCTAGGGCGGACGATAGGTGAGGTAGGGAGGCAGTACCTGGATGCTTATTCCATCTCGTGCTAGTGGCTTGACTCCCTTCCGACAACAATTGCGGGAGCGTGCCGAGGCTGCCCGAGCTCGTCGTCAAGGCGATAGATCTACTGAGCGTGATGGTCAGGACGATGAGAGGTGCGCTCTCCCCCTACACCATATGTGTTGAGCTTTTTGGTCCCCTTCAGCCGCTCCACCTCCCGTGGCTTTGCCTCTAGAGGTGAACCTCGATCGTTATCGCGAGAAGACTCGGATCGCGCGGATAGTAAGTCCGGGGTTAAGAGTAGTGTAACCAACTTGACTCCATCCCCCAGATGACGATAACTGGAGAGCTACTGCTCACACTTCGACAACTCTGCCGTGGAGGAGGTAGGAGTCGACCTTGTTCACTTACAAGTCGTACGGTACGTATTTAGGCCGGGCATTGCAGAGGAGCCGCGTTCTTCCGACGCTCCGATGCCCTCGAGACGTCCTGGTACAGCGCCCGCCTCAGACTGGAAGTATGCCCAACATTTGATTATTACTGTTGTCATTATACGTTTCTCGTAGGGCCCAATTTGCTAACCGCAACCGTGCCTCTGGAACAAGCGCCACTGAGGAGCCTCGGAGTCGGGCATGGGTGCCTCCGTGTAATGCAGAGCGGTTCGAACGAGGTGGAATAAGGGCGTCTGCTTCAGCTCGGGCTGATGCTCTCCGAGATGATCGGGCTCGTCGTGAGGAGCCTTTAAGAAGGGGTGACAGCTTCAGACGAGATGATGTCTCCCGTCGTGAGACCGGCTCGTGGAGAGCTGAGGCCTTGAGGCGTGATGAGCCCCTCAGAAGGGAGGAGCCAACCAGGAGCAGTGCGGCGTGGAGGAGAGGAGTTGATAGAGAGGAACAGCAGCATGGCAACCGGCAGGAGGATAAGGAGATGGTTGAGAGTGTAACGAGAGAGCTTGAGACTATGGATGCTCGTGGAGATGAGTGGGCCGATGAAGAGGAAGAGGAGAAGCCAACGGTGAGGCAGAGGGTCACTATTGATAATGCTATGTATAAGGCGTGATGCCTCTAGGCTGTGTGGGGAATATGCACATGGTGAACCACATATGTTGGTGACAATACGAAAATTCCGAGGAAATTTTAGGAGGTTTTCATTGATTCTTGTACATTTTTACCGAATTCGTATGTAAACTTCAGTAATCAACGAGGAAACGCCTAAGCTCAGCTGAAGAAAGCGAACATACATCATTATCAAACGCGAACGTTGAAAAGTGCGCGAGAATCTTCCACGCATTATAGATACGAAACGGCCGAGAGATCTATCATTACAGGTATACCAATCGATTTCCCCGGGCTTGGAGCTCCCGAAGTACAATTTTCATTGTCATTCGCTCATTGAGTCCCGAGTTCTGTCACTTTTCATGACTTGCCTATCGAACGCGAACGCGCTGTATATTTCAACACTGTCTTTAGGTGCCTGCATTTGATGCTGCTAAAATTGACAAGTTCCTAGTAGCGTACCAGAAGCATGTGGATGATGTCACGAAGAAGACTGAGCATATCGCGACGAAAATGCCTAAGAATCTCGGCATAGCGGAAATGCAGAGCTCCTATCTCCTGGATAAGATAGTAGCGGCCTTGGTTATGAAGTAAATGTCAGTCGAGATGGGTGGTGTCTTCATACACGTTTCTTTAGGGCATCAACGTTGGCTTCACTGGACGAGTGCCTTGCTCTTTTTCATCGCCATGCTCCTGTAATCAATGCTCTCATCGACTCCAATCGTCAGACGCGGGGGTAGCAGGGCCATGTTAGATCTATTTTTTGCTATAGGAGAGTTGCTTGCCAGATACTGTTTCCAGCTGCTGACGTCCTCTCAGAAGGCTGTGGAGTCGGTCAAGTGTCCTAGGTTGGCAAAGGACTGTACTCTCGTTGAGGCCGTGTGGTATTCGCTGTATGATATTGATGCGGTTACTGCAGAGCTTATAGCCTTTTGGAGCGATGAGTAAATGCTGTGCTGTTCCTCACCTTGAGCGACATCTCGCTATAGGTACTCGGGATCTGAGGCCGACACTGCTGATCGCACGAAGATTGTTTTCCAAACTCAAGCTCTTCGTGAGTGGCTCAGCGCTGTCGAGGAGGGAGAGGCTACGAGGGATGTAGGATGGTGAATTCCTCGGTGAGTGGTATGACGTGTAATCTGTAGGCTACTGAGGAGGATGATGATGAGTGGGCAAGTAGTAGCAGTAGCGATGATGAAGATATAGAGGCTCTCATTCCGAAGAGGGCAACGGACATACGTGTTCGATAAACGTCTTAATACACTTTACTCGTAGCATTGCTGGCGCTGTCTTTAAGAGTACTAGTTCCTCACCGGCTACTGTCGGTTACTGCACTGCATACTTGGCTGATATACATTACAACGTCACCATCATAGCAACTTCATTATCTTCCTCCGGGAGAGTTCGTCTGTGTTGTGTTTTGTGTGGCGATTTTATGGTTGCCTTCACTCGTTTGAATTTTATGATGTAAATTTGTTTTTGTTTCCTCGTTGGTTTCTCCATTTCTCGTTTACGACTTGTGCATTTGCTTGGGAGGGCGCGATGCTTTCCTTCGGGGCCTGGCTTAGTGTGTGTTGACATCCCTCTGTTGTGTCGGTGCTTTGTTCGGCGTGGCATGGTGTATATAGAAAGCTCTCTGAGTTTGTTTTCTGTCAGTGTTCTTACTCAATGGATATCAACCCGTTGCAGAATGTTGTAGAGAAGGATGAGGACATCTCTTTCGAGAATTCTGAAGATGTCACCAGAGGCGTGGCTCTGGATCTTTCCGCTCTGGACATGAGCTCATTGCCGCGCCTCGGTGGCAAGTCCTCGCCTAAGATTTGCCGTTGTGGGCGTTTCGAGGGATTCCCTCCTAGGTGCCCTACGGATTCCATGTACATTTTCCCTATTACCAGTGTTGACGTTTCCACTCAAGACCATCAGCTCACTGCTAATTCGGCAGTTGAATTCGTGGAGGATGCTTTCGAGGACTGCGACATCACCGTCAAGCAGGATAAGTTCAAGCTCGCACTGAATGTGTATGATACTTGGGGTCAGAAGGCTTCCGTCTGTGTGCGGATGTTTTACCTTTCTGATAGTCAGATGAGGTTCTCATTTCGCTGTGACAGTGGAAGTCGTGATGTCTTCCTTGATGTATACGCAAGATGCAGAGCACATTTGATGGGAGACGCGACTCCGTCTACTCAGGCAGAGTTATTAGATAAGATTCCGTCACTCGACATGACAGATGTTCATCTTCCACCCCCTACTGTGGAAGAACTGGGCTTCGAAGTCGACATGGTTGAAGACTACAATGAGTCGATTAAATGCGAGGCTCTGTCCGTCCTATGTGGTTGCGGTGACGTTGGTCTCCAGGCTGTACTCAGAAGGACTGGTGTGATGAGTCAGCTACTCCTCGATGAATCTACATGTGTGGCTATTGCGGCTTGTAGATTGCTCAGTAACTGCGAGAAGCCTAACGATGTTACCGTGGAGCTGATGATGACTGAGGAAGTCGTTGCTGCCCTTCTTGAAGGGTTGCTCGCGGCTGAGCCTATGTCTGCTAAAGCCAATAAGCTTGCTGCTACTTTGGTCAAGGTCCTCCGTATGTCTAACGACCTAGTGTCTCAGTGTGACATCCATTCCCTTGCGGATGCCGCTAACATGTTCGTCGCTGATGTTCGTGTTGCTCAGTCCCTCGATCAGAGCTTAGCGATGTGCACGTGAGCTCGGTGAAGGTTCCAAGTTATTCCGGCGCACCCCGTATAATATGTGGTGTCAATGTCTATGTTAGAAAGCCTATATACAAACTATCATGTTTATATTGGTATATTTATAGCATGTTGGGAAGAACCATGCTATAACTGTTATTTTCCATACGATGCCCAGCCCTTTGGGTATTAATTCTGCGTGGATGTTGAGATCAGAGTCATCATTATTATAGTTGTTCTGGCGAATACAGTTTGGTGGTGGTTGTTGTTGGTTAATAGACTTCATTTTTATTGAAAGGATTATACTTCACTTCTTACTTCTGTTGACCACCATCTTCACTATGTGGTGCTAGACCGTTTTCCGTGGCCCGAGGTTATACTATCGAAGAATGTGAGTCGTATTTTTGTGGATAAATGGGTGTCGAAAGTAGAAGTTGTGTGGTTGGTCCTTTCGCTACGAACTGGCCTATGAACATCACTGATTCAGCTGCTGTTCATCTCTGACTGCTATATTGTAGTCACAGCCTTCCATATTATCGTATTTCATACTCCAAAAACTCCTACTACTTCACACTTCCTAAGTTGGTTGAAGATACAGTAGAGTTGGAAATCGAGTTATATACTCGTTTTTGCGTTCCTAGTAGGGCTGGAGGGTTTCAGATAACTGATCGGCTGATTGGGCTACTTCTAAATATTGGTGAATTGAATTCTCACCAACGAGGATTGCACATGATCATCATCACATGCCCCTCCTCATGGAATCGGTATCAAGTTCAGTAGCATCTGCGAAATATGCAAGTTTGCGAAACGCGAATCGTAAAAAAATCGTAATTATCCAAAATATATATTCACTTTGGACAGGATACCATTTTGGCTGTGTCAGTGTACGGCCACGCGTAAGTCTTGCTAATGCACGATACGACATTTCCCATCATCTACGTAGTTACGGCGGTTCATCGTTCCGAAACGATACTAAATACTCCCATGAGTTGACTGTAAGAAATACTCTTATCGGATGCGGTATAAGAGGGTCTTCGAAACACTTGTCGATTCAGCTGTTACTACTGCTACTCTTTGTAGCTGTTCTTTCTGTCCTCTGCAAACAGTTTTCCTGAGTGGCACAAGTCTAGGACACCTTGGACGACATGGGCTTGAAGGTCCACAACTCCCTCACTGACACAAAGTTAACGTATACAATATCTGATGGCGTGGTATTGGTCGTTGTCGAGATTCCTTTCGTACCGATCAAATGAGAGAGAGGTTCGCATGTATAATTGCGGCCCTTCTGTATACGACTCGGCCCATATGGAGCATGCTCGAGCCTATCTAACCTTTGATATCATTTGGAGGATCCCGGAAGACTATTTCCAGTAATACCAGCAGCAATAGACGCTTGAGTGGAACAGGTTCGCTTTGGTAGGTACCGGTTTCTATATCAGATGAACATCACTGATATTGACGATAAGATTATTCTCGAGGCTCTGAAGGGCGAGCTTGTGCGACGGTAATGCTCCGTGCTTCCGGCTGTATACGTCAGGATTGGTCCTTGGTGTGGTAAGTACTCCAATAGCCATCACAGTCTTGATAAGGTTGAAGCTGACTGTGGGCTTGTCGTGGACAGGAACGTGCAGAAAGCTCTCCATGATGTGCACTTCACACCATGGAATGTGCTTCTGAATGGCTTCACATTGTGAAGCCCAGGCAGTGGTCATGAGCTTGCATACGATCCCGAAATGTCGTACTGTTGGCATGCTCTGAATCGTAGCTACTGCCGTTCTGAAGCTCTTCTTTTGTTTGTCGGCCCAGGGCTTCTCGGCTGCATTTTCAGCCTTGATATGGGCGTTCATCTTCTTGTTGATGTTATCCCTGAGATGCACACGGCAGTGAATTCAGACATTCTTTGGCGTGGAAATGCCGCCGTGTTGAGTTGAATTGACGAGGCGGTAGTTTTCGTCAAGCATATCCGGGACACTTTTGCCGTGAACCTGACATGGGCTGTCAGGCTGACAGTGTCAGCTTAAGTGTGTTGTGTTGTTACTCACAGCTTCGAAGACTGCCTTGAAGCATCCTGCTGCATCAGGCTGATGCCATCAGCTACGATGATAAAAGTGGTGTAGATGAGTGACAATCGTTCAACGATTATCGTTGACACCAGACGCTGATTGCCCTCATCCCAGCTTCGACATGAGCACCATCTTCTCTGCTGCTGTACCCCACTGCGAGAAGCTGAGAGCTCCTTCGCCTCCGGTGGGAGCCCAGCAATAGCGTTGGCATGCCAACTCAGTCCAGGTTGTGTGTGTAATCCCCTACTAAGGTAGGGGAGTCTGCATGGTTGCGAAGGAGAGCCATGCTGCTGAAATTTTCCAAGATGGCACGTCATCCATAGCATGTGAGTCGACGACTTCAATGGCAGGCGAGCTCAATGGGGAATATGTGACATCGCGATGAGTAATTGTGTGCCGCGTGACCTTTTCTCAAGTTCAAAAAATGCTGACAATTTGTGGACAACGCTTGGTCTCTCGAGTGGAGCTCAAGAGGAGGAGTCGAAGACTCTTTCTAACGTCCTCACGGGCTTTGCTTCCTCCCGCGAGCAGCTGCGATCGGCCGCCCAAACGGAAAAGAACAAAACGCTGTTGTAGATGTGTGATAAGCTCCGTGATGAGTAGACCTCGGGGTTCGTCTTGAGGACAAGGCTGATGGGAGCAGGTGATGGGCCGTCCGTGATGAGGCTCGGGAATTGGTGGTGTACGTCTTAGTGTGTGGTCGTCGCCAATGCATTATCGTCATCAGATGAAGAGTAAATTTAATTTTTTCGTTTCTGCTTTCGCCAAGATGGTCGGTGTTGCGTTCTCTAGTTGTGATGTCAGTTCACTGTGCGTGAAGGGACGCAAGTTGACCGGACTGTAGTTGAGCACCACCTTCCGCAGGGCAGTATTCTGCATTAGGTCATTGAACGTTTATAATCAGGACGTGGTCGATCAGCTAGGTGTGAATACGGCATAATAGCGAGTTTTTACAGCACAACATGGATAATACCCCCGAGGGCTGGTACCGCGATCTGCTCATGGTCACTCGTGGTATCTCCTCTACTATTTTCATAACGACATGCCTCGTCCAAATGGGGTATGGCCTTTACTGTGTTTTCCCAGCGAGGCAGATTTTGGTTGATCTTCCCTCAGGTTGCTGAACCCGATGCTCGTTATACTGGACTGGCGACTAGTATACCAGAAACTGAATATATGGAGGGTCTTCACCAGTGTGCTTTTCCTAGGCAAATTCAGCTTTTGAATTCTTAGTATACACTACTACTGGTCAACTCAAGTCGTATTGCGTTGTAACCTATAAGCTGAATGCATCTGAGGACACAATACGCATGCCAACATCGGCCTCGTGGAAGTATGTTACTATCGTATGATATGCTAATGTCATTTAGTACGAGTTGAATATCCCTTCGCTCTTACAACAACAAGGACTGGCAGGTGACTAATACGACTACACACAACTCTTATTCCAAAAGCAAGAAAGAGAGCATGTCGGTATAATTCATCGTACAGTATCTAGCAGTCGCTGTAAGTGGCCGATCCGCGTCTCCATAGCTTGCAACTCTGTCATGAAACGACGGGCACTGATTATATACTCCTGAAGAGAGAAAAATGTGACCCTCATGACGAGCTGGCCCAGCCTACACTTCGGGCCTCGAGGCTCTCACACGTGCCCATCAGACCATCAAGGACAGGGGCAAGACCCTCGTACTTCTCGTAGAGGCGCAGTATCTGGCAAGAGGCCTACGCTACTAGGCAGTGCCGCTCGAGCCTACCTCTTCTGTATGACCAGAGGTTTCGGCGCTCTCAGTGCGATTCCGCTCGATAACTTCACTGAAGACCTCACTGGCATGTAGGATTTCAGGGAAGGCCTGACCGGGACGTTTCCAGCCCAAGAAGGAACTACGAACCCTCTACGCAGTCCCGATCGGTCCCCCATCGACTTTCGATGGCAGAGAAGTGCTTATCGAGGCATAAGGTCTGTCGTAGGAGCTTCAAAGCCGACTTGTATAATCGCTCTATGTGCTCAGCAACGGCCGGGCCGATGATCTGATCCTGGCCGGACCGGTGGTCCTCTCGTGGTCGAAGGCCAAGGAAGACCTCAATCTCTTCAACCTGTACTTTAGTATGGTATCAGAAGGACATGCTATACCACCTCCTTAGCTGCTGCCTCGAGAAGCATGTCCACCGACGGCAGCGGTATTGTCGATGGTCCATCTTGGTCCTTAGAGGTACCTCCCGTGGTAGGGGTATCGTTCATAGTCACAGTAGAGGCATGATCCTACTCAAGGCAGCCTCGGTCGACCCACCTCCTCTCTGGAGCTCCCATTGCTTGGCCAATACGGAGAGGTCCTCCTCTACTTCCTGGCCAAGACTCTCCCCCTTGGTTGGCAGCAAACACTACCTTCAATTTGAGGTCTTCCCCGTCTCGAGTACGTGTGGTTACCCTCACTCTGTGGTCCGTTGGTGGTGAACGAGAAAGCTTCTCGATCTCAGCACGAAGAGCCTCGATGCGCTGATCGATCGCTGATGCATCTGACCAGCGAGGGACTCTTCCCAGACGGCCCTGGGGAGGCCCACCGTCCTGAATTCGTGTGGCCATGGAGAGGACATACCCCTCTCCCAGGGATGGATCACAACGACTAGGTCGCACAAGAGAGGGGGTCTCGATCCTACACTGAGCACTGCCTAGCTTGGTACTATCATCAACTTACTCCTCAGGAGGCCCCTGACTAGGCCGGGGACGAGTCTCATCTCGTGGTGGAGGGTCATACCTATAGTCACTTTATCGGCGCTGACTGAGCCCTAAGGGGTACTCATAGACGATCTCTTGGGCAGGCATGCGGCCATGGTGGGCAGCCATGCGGAGAAAGGGCCCTGCCTCTTCCGTAATAGTCACTGTGGCGCCTGTATCTGAGGGGTGAAGGCTCTACCTCGTCGCGGTGATAGACGATCGAAGGACCCTCTGGGTTCGACTGGGACATGGAGTAGCGTCTACGAGGGCGTCTCTCTACGAAAATGTTCTCCATTGGCAAGTTCTACTACTGTGAGAACAGCACAAGAAGATCGACTCAGTAACGCATCACCAGTGTTGGATCGACGGAAACCACAAAAACATGTTGCTGCTGTGCACTACAGACCCCGCACGGCACTCCCAGTATCCCTCCGAAGGCTCGACCATCTACCGTCGGCCTTACAGGTCTTTCTATGCTCCATATCGACGTAGTTGGCCTTGAGGTAATGCTCATACCCTACAGCCCAACATGACCCCTCGGAGAGACATGTTGGGGTCACCTTGGAAGAGCAGCTCTTTGGTGTCCTCCTGCGCCTCCTCAGTCTTCCGCGTCTCGACGAGGTATTCCTAAGACCAATCCTTACCCACTGGGAAGCCATGCTCTGTCGTACTTGAGTGCCAGGGAAGTACCAGGCGAAGTCGCAGGTCACCGCAGCATCGCCAGAGAGGGAGCCGAGGACAGTGCTGATCACAGGCCTAAGGCAGGACTTGACCACTACCACTACCATGGGTACCTTGGGTCGGCCACGTTGTAGAAGGTGAACTTGTAACGCCAGTCGTGGAAGACATAGTGCTTCACAGCGAATTTACCGTGATGATGTGGACCTGTCGAGCACTATAACCGGCCCTAGGTAGACTAGGAGAGCGCCCCTACTCTTATTGTAGGTCACTCGCCACGCTCTTCGTTCCTGTCTAGCAGGCATGGGCCACACTGGGTCGACCCCTGAGGGCCTCTAGTGATGACGACTGGTTGTGGATGGCCTTACCATTGTCAATGGCCCTTAGACCTAGTTTTAGGTTATTGATGGTACTGGTGAGATGCTCTCTGATGGTCGCTGTGTAGACCACAGTGAGCCGAGCCAATTTGTAACTGAGCCGGCGTGCCCCTTTCCAACGGTCTCCCAGTACTACTCGGATTTGGTCGCCTCTCGAATCGCTAGTGGTACACCTACGTTCGCCATTTATTACTCATCAATCTCCTGGGGTACAGTCCAACGCAACTGCTCCTCTCACTACCATCTCAACTCGATAAAATTGGTCTTCCCGAAACGCTTCGCTCCGCCTTCTTTTTGAACGAGTCCATCGATTGCCCTGTGGGAAGACGATTGTCCGACATATGCCAAGGGGTGAAATAGTAGAAACGTTCCCTGAACTACTATGCACGACTTTGCCCCTTAGCCGTCCTTTGTTTGCCTTATTACTACCATGAGAAAGAAGGTAGACTCTCGCGTCCGTATTATGGTGGAGCAGAACGTACTGCGTAACCAACGTAATAAAGGGTCTACTGAGGCGATGCAGGGACTATTTTGACAGGGTCGCTCTTTGTCGTGGTCGGCGACAATGGGAAGGACCAGGTGACCAATCTTCACTATCTGCTGTCCAAGGTCACTACCAAGAAGCCCTCGGTAAGGTCACTGGGTCGCCAGGACATGACCCTCATGTTTGGAAGTGGTCAAGGTACTCTGGTGTTACAAGAAGGATTTGGGGTTCTCGTCGAATCGGAGGAAGCGTGGTAGGAACATCAAGAAGGCCATAAAGCAGGGCAAATACGATACTGCCACTGACGATCCCTTCGAGCTGTTCCTATCTAGTAATGCTTCTATCGGGGAGATCTCTTCATCTCTGCCCTGACCAGGCACTGACATAAGGTTCTGCTACTACCGCGACTCGGAGTCCATCCTAGGGAAGACATACGACATGTGCGTCCTCTCGGACTTCGAGGCCCTCACGCCCAACCTCCTCTGCCGTAAGTCTCCCGTATGGCGGTCTTCGTCATGCTCCATGATAGGTACTATGGAGACTGTCTCTGGAGGTGGTATAGTGATGATCATGTTGAATACTATGTCCAGTCTGAAACAATTGTAGGGCTGGTGCTGGGGGAAAACATTAGTACCACGCTTCGGCCAGGTACACTACGGTTATGGACGCCCATTCCAAGTTCCGTGGGGAGGACCACGACACTGTGGAGCCTCGGTTCAACGAGAGGTTCATTCTGAGTACTACAAGAGGTATGCTCACAGTGATGGTCATTTCTCATGAGTAGGCCTGGCGGACTGCCGCAACTGTTTGGTAGTCGACGATGAGCTCAATGTGCTGCCTGTCAGCCAGGCGACCCTCGGCTCCATCTCGGAGACGGTAAGAGGCCGGCCCTTCCCTCAGTTAGGATGATGCTGTATCCCTTCAGTCATCCTCTGATAAGGTGGACGAGGCCGAGAAGGTGGTGGCTAGTGATGAAGCCGAGAGGGATGCTCTGGTGGGGGAGTTGGACCCGGAAGCTACCCTATCCAAGGTGGTCAAACTGGCCAAGACCTACGACCAAGCCAAGGCGGTAGTACCAATACATTAATACTATGTATAGTTGACACCTGCTCATCGGTTTAGGTCATGTCCTTCGGTGAGGTTGTCACGTCCCAGCATATGGGCCAAGTGGTCTCCTTGACGGCCGCCCGTGGGCGTGGTAAGAGTGCCAGTCTTGGTATGGCCATTGCCTTGGCCATCACTCAGGGGTAGGATGATTAATGTGGTCTCCTCGTGAACCCCCTATCGTAGGTACTCCAACGTATTCGTAACGGCACCCTCACCGGAAAACCTCACCACTCTGTTCGAGTTCGTATTGAAGACCTTCGAGTCCCTCGGCTACGCTGAGCATCAGGACTACAGCCTGGTAGGACTATGTTGTAGTGGGAGCCGGGCTAGAGGAGTACTGGTCTGGTCGTAGGTCCAACAGCAGCAGTCTGGTTCGGAGGACTATGGTAGTGATAGTAAGGCCAGGTTGGAGAGTGGTGGAGGCGGTCATCGTGGAGTGAACACTCCTCTGGTCCGCATCAATGTGTATAAGACTCACAGGCAGACCATTCAGTACGTTAGCCCGGCTGATAGCAAGTAAGAGGGATTCTTGGCCAAGTGTACCACTGGGTATATGTTACTGGGTCATGTAGCATGTAGAGGAGTTTCCAGGGATTGATCATTTCTAGTGGTGGAATGGGTGATAGGCCAGCTCGATGAGCCTATTATGGTTCATGGATGCCTTACTGATGGAGGCCGTTGAATGTTGTAGGTATATCTCCCAAGCGGAGCTGTTGGTCATTGACGAGGCCGCAGCAATACCTCTACCAGTGGTAAAGAAGCTCTTGAGCACAGGTCAGCACATCACTCTGATGTCTAGTACGGTGCAGGGCTACGAGGGTACTACCAATAAGATGGCCGTGTACGGCACAGATCTCAATTAGGAACGGGCCGTGCTTTGTCGTTGAAGCTTATAGCGGAGTTGAAGAAGCAACAGAAGGGCTCCTCACGGGACGATCCCAATGGGAAGCATCTCACTGAGCTCACTCTGAATACACCGGTAATGGGCTTGTGATCTATCGCTCCTCTCAATGAGGGGTTATGCTTAGATACGATACGCTAGTGGTGATGGTTTGGAAGCCTGGCTTGGTCGTCTACTGTGCCTGGATGCAACGTCGCCCCCAACCCTTCGGAACCTGGACGGCCTCCCGATGCCCGAGCAATGCGAGTTGTAGGAGCAAGGCCGCGCTATCCTTCTGTGGGCAACTGCCTGGCCTGCAGGTACCTGGTCAATCGGGATACGCTCTTCTCGTACCATAAGGCCTCCGAGGTCTTCTTGAGGAACATGCAGTCTCTGTTCGTGAGCTCTCACTATAAGAACTCCCCCAATGATCTCCTTCTTATGAGTGATGCCCCTAAGCACCATGTAAGCCATGAGCTGTGCTATTGGAACCATTGTGCTTTGTACAGGTTTTTGCGCTCTTACCACCGTTATCGAAGAGCCAGGGTCGCCTCCCGGAAGTGCTGGTCAGCATTCAAGTAGGGTGGGTTGTCAACTGATGTCGCGGCCTGGCCAACTTGTCCAAGAGATGTCGGCTATGGATTTACTCTTGGGCCTTGCGCTTTAGGTCTGCGCAGAGGGTAAGCTGTCACGTTCGGCTCAGTCCCAGGCCCTTAGGAGGGGCGAGATGAGACCTAGCGGTGATATGATACCATGGACGCTGGGACAACAGTATCCTGACTCGAGCTTCGGCTCTCTAGCTGGGGTAGGGAGTAGTAGGGAGGCTACTATCTAGGGGTTCACATGTTATGGGACAGGTACGAGTGGTGCGTATAGCGTGTCACCCCTCGCTGCAGAGGAAGGGGTATGCTACTGAGGCATTGAAGCAGTTGGAGGCCTTCTTGGAGGGTAAGATGGCTGGTGCTGGAGACGATGACGACGAAGGTACTATGGGGAATCCTTATCAACGACATTCGTCTGTTGTTAGAATCCTCATCTGATGAGGACGAGGCCGAGGAGGACGAGCAGCCTGTTGCCGGCAAGGGTGAGCCGAACACGGCTGACGGCCGATCGGCTCTTCATACGGAACGTATTGCTCCTAAGAAGAGTGTGGCTCCCCTGCTGAGCAAACTCTCTGGTACGTTCGGTCCCTCATACTATAGGGTATAGTCCTTGCTCAGATGTTGAGAGTCTCTTCCCTGGTGGTGTTGACTATCTTGGGACTAGCTTTGGTCTCACACTACAGCTGTTCAACTTCTGGCACAAGTCTGGACTGGTCCCGTTATATGTAGGTAGTGTCCTCTACAGTAGAAGGGCCATTGCTTTGTGATAGGTCCGACAGACAGCTAACGAGATCACAGGGGAGTGCTCGGCTATTATGGTACGCAACTGTAGTGAGGGTGGAGACGGCTGGTTGAGGAAGCTCTCGGTGGACTTCAATGGGAGGTAAGATCTATCTTCATTTCCATGTAGTGTGGTGAAACTTGGACATGGTCAACCACACATGTTGGTGACAATATGAGAATTTTGGGAGGAAATTTTGGGGAATTGTTGTTGGTTTTTGTACATTTCCAGCCTAACTAGTATCTAAACTCCTATGATTAATCAGGAAAGCGAACATATATTCCAACATTGTTACGCTCAACAGCTCCGTCTACGCTCTTCGAATGGCCGCATTGAACTGTTCCTGTCAAATCATCAGGTTTGTCCGTCTCCTATCGAGCTCCCCCTTCCGCCACATGCAGACTGAGCTTGCCTTATCGGTGGTGTCGGCCACGGAGTTGCCCCAGAAGGAAGAGGACCTAGTGTTGCCTTCCGTGGACAAGTCTAATGTAACCACAGGTGCCTGGATGATGGGAGACTATACTATGGGGTTCTGCTCAGGTGCTGCAGTTCCTCTCGCGATATGATGTTCATAGGCTGCAACAGTACGGCAAGAATCTTGTGGACTACCATCTCGTTACGGACCTGGTAAGTACTCCGGCATCGTCATCGGCTCCATAAGAGGTGTGCCTCAAGATACCGGTGGTGGCTGACCTCTACTTTACTCATCGTCTGCCGAGTATCAACCTGTCCTCCCTCCAG